AAGGAGCAAAAGAACTCCCCATATTTCTCCCTTCCAAGAACCACCACTGCGTGCCGGACTCGCTAAACCTATCCACCACTTCCCAGCCTCCTCTCCAAAGTGTCAAGCCTTGCCCTTGTGCCCTGTTCTGCAGACACCCGTGTTGTCCCTGTCCCATCCCACCTCCCAGCTGCTCACTGCAGAGCTGCACTGCAAATTTTTCACATGTGCAGGGTGCATCTGACTTTGGGAAAGACCTATACAAAATATCCAACCCACTTAAATCCCCAAAATGGGACTTAAGCAGCACTGCAGAGCTGCACTGCAACTTTTTCACATGTGCAGGGTGCATCTGACCTTGGGAAAGACCTATACAAAATGCCCAGCCCACTTAAATCCCCAAAATGGGACTTAAGCAAGACTTCAGTAATGCCTGGAATGAGTTTTCCTGCAGTGAACTGAGGAGTGAAGCTGTGTCTCCAAAGCCAGCACTATAAATGGGCATTACTTACCCATCACCGGTTAAAAGCATTTCACTGTGGAGAAGGTGGTGCCCAGTCTCACGAAAAGGGCAGGAATTAAGCCACCTTCAAACTATCTATTGCTGTAGAGGCAATACCTCCACAACAGATTGTTAAGAGGGAAGAGTCTATGTGCTTTTCTCTGGTTTCGGTGCTTTTGGTTCCTGTGTTTCAGCCAGCTGTGTCCCCAGCACAGTTCCCTTTTGCTTTGAGCTCGTTGGACTTCCTCCTTTCCTGCACGGCACTGTCTCCGTTACATGTGCAACAGAGGAACCTTTGTGTGCTGGCATTTTTTTTTTTTCCCTGAGATGGAGATTTATACTCACAGCTAGACTTCCACATACTTATTTCTCACAAAGATCTACAAATCAAGCCTAGAGAGCGGCTGAAAATGTTGACTTACTGCTGAGTTTAGTGGGACTCTGATGCACAGGGAGGACCAGGGGGGTTGTGCAGGCTGAGAGCAGTGATTTGAGCTCTGAGAATGATTCAGCATGTGCAGATGCTTAAGGATCAGGAAGCAAAAGAGTTGCAACAGTCTGTTATTGGAATTTTTTTGCATGACAGGCAATGAAGGAGCCTGTTGTTGCTATTTTGGATGGACTCAAAGTGAACAGAAATGCTCACACCCTTGCTCTTTCAGATCTGTGTGCAATTTCCAACCCAGCCCCTGACCTGAGTGAGCCCAAGCTGTACTCTGAGCCCGTTCCTCTGGGAAACCAGTTCACCGGCCCAGATGTCCTACCTATGTCGCGTCACTGATGATATCAGAGCTATAATTTGTCTGAACAAAACAAACGTGAGCTGCCAGCCTCCCAGAAGGACTGATCCTTCCCATAGGACAGCTTCTCTTCTGCTTTATTATTCCGTGGGTCACAACCCATGCACTCTAAGGGTAATTTCAGTGTTTTTTTTGAGATCATTGTGTAAAATGTCCTTCTCGTGCTGAAGGGAAATGTGGCAACAAAAATGGTTTAGCTCTGCAAAAAGCATAGATTGCTGGGTCTGGTACACAGATGCCCCTTGGAGTCGTTAGCCAAACTCCAGTGAAGTTGCTAAAAGGCTGCTGTGCTCTCAGGGAAGGCAGGATCAGCCCGTCGGGCTCAACGCAGCCCGGTGTGTTCCTGCAGACGCGGTACCTTGAGCAGAACGGAACCTGCATACGGAAAACCTCTGCGAAGCTCCAGGGTTCCTTGTGGGTCTCAGATTTCTTCCTTACAGCAGAATAGTTCGAGTGTGAGGCTGCCAGCATGTCACCGAATCGATGCATCCATTTGTCTGTCAAGAATGACTCAAACAAAAGACCAACAAGCATAATTACGAGAATTAATGGATTATCCAGGTTTCTGCAGCATGGTGGGGGACAACAGCAAGCCAGGGACTGGGTAGGAGCAGAGTTTCCAGGGTTGGATCAAGTGCAGCCTATAAAGTTTATTTCACTTCATCGACTTGCTCAGAGAAGCAGCTTGCTGAGAGCTGACAAAAACATTTTTTGTTTTTACAGTTATGGGATTGCCCTAACTATGAAATACGTGTCCCTGCCAGCCCCTCAAACACATCCTGCATGGAGATGCCCCATCCCTGGAAGTGTTCTGTGAGATATGGGCATTGGCTGAAAATACCTGCTGGAAAAAGGTGAGAAGCAATATAAAAGAAAAGTCCAATGAACAAAGGTGGATTCTGTGATGGTCCCGTGCAATGGGAGGAAAAAAAAATCTCTGTGGAAAGAAAAGATATTGAGAAGTTCATTATTTTTGGCAGGACTCCTGCACGTTTTGCCTATCAAAGGATCGTCGTAGGGAGGGGATTATTTTATAGTCATGTAAAAGTTCCCTCCCTCCTTCAATTCTCTCGATCCCAGGCTGACTCCCTGCAGTCTGAGGGGCCTCTTTACGGGATTGCATTTCGACGTCTTTTTTTTGTTGTTTTTTTTCTGGATGGAGTATTTTTAAAAGACAGATTTATGCAGTTCACCACGCGAGTTCAGCGCTGCTCTGGGAATTGCTGCCCCCTGCAAGTGACTCCGAGCAAGGCACAGACCCAGTGCTGGCTGCCTGGGACCGAAAGGGGAAGGGGTCACTTGTGGCCTTGGTCCAGTCTCCATGGCCATAATCCCATGAACGCTTTGAGCTGGGATGAGTCAGCCCTGCCACCCCCCAGCTGCCCGTGCCAGCTCCTGTGTGCTGCGTCCGCATCACAGCACTGAGATACACAAATGAGAGATGGACGTTACCTGGGCTGGGCTGGTCCCCAGGAGAAGGTGCTGTGTAAGTTGGGATGTGCCTGTTGGGTGGTGGTGCCAGAAGAGTCCTGGGCTCCCTCTGGTGCTGTCTGGAGCCTGTGGACCCTGGGCATCGCCAGCACGGCCGGTGCTGGGGATGGAGGTACCACTTTCTCCATCAGATCTATTATTGTTTATAACCGGGGTGTCTCAAGCATTTCTGAGCACAGACCTCCAAGACATTGATTCCCAGAATATTCACTGCCAGTGGATAACTCATGAGCTTGGACTTTGCTCCTTGACTAAAGGGCTGAGCCCCAAGGAGCTTCTCCTGCCGAGCACAGCCTCGACTGCATGTTTTTTTTGGTGGGAAGCGGTTGCCACAGCAGTGCAAGCAGGGTGCAAGTTCTTGCTGTAACTCCAGGCTGACAAACCTTCCTTGGTTTTTCAGGAGCTGGTGTTAATCAGAAGCTGCCGAGAGATGTGACTGGATCTGCAGAGGAAAAACCCACCAGCAAGGGACATGTCTCTGGCAAAGGGCTGCAGCCCACCCGGGACACGGGGAGGGCAGGAGTGCGTTAACCCACATGCTCTGCAGGGCACATAACACCCTGTCCTGCCCCGCTGCTCTGCAGGGGTTATTTGGAGGCTGCTGCTGCTGAAGGTACCCCCCAGCATCCAATGAGCTCTGCAAAACTGCAGAGATGGGAGGAAGATGAGAGCCATCTGAATAATTTTTCAGCTTTGGAAGTTCAGCTGCTCTGAAATATTCCAGCAGCAAATGCCCCCACAGGACCCCCCACCTTCCCTGGCCATCCTCGCACCCTCCCTGCTCCTTCCCTGGCCACCCCAATTCCCCTTTCCCTGGCTCCACAGCCAGCAGCTGCCCAGCCCGGGACAGACCCTGTGGTATCCCCCTGGGGGCTGAACTGCATCCTCCCACCCCAGGAGTTGCCCTGGCCAGACCCACCACCCACAATCGCTCCCGCATGGCTGAGCCCATCTCCCTCAGAAAAAACATCCTCCTCCCTGGCTGGGTGAGGGCTGACACCCCCCGAGCCCTGCACCTGCCCTGGGCAAGGCTGGGCCCAGCTCCCAACCGCTGCTCCCTTGGGGCTGGGGCTTTGTGGGGTGTTTTTTTGCTGCCTGTTGGCTCTGGGGAGGTGGAAAGGTGCTGCGGGGTGTGCGGAAACGATGCTCTTGGCAGGCGGGTGCTTGGCTTGCTGCGCTTTGCCCTTCGTTCCTGTGCACAGGCCAATAAAACCATGTTTAAATGGAAATAACTGCGGGTAAAGGAAATGGTGGTGCACCAGACGGGGCAGGTATCATCTCTGGCACTTCTCCTTTGGTCTCCCTGCGTTTCAGCCCCGTTCTGTGCACGTGTGCTAGGAACAGCCCAGCTGGCTCCTGGTGCAATGTCGTGGCTGCAGAGATGCTCCCTGCAGCCCTTCCCATCCCATGCCCAGCTAGAAAGCCCTGCCACACATCAGGAAAAAAGGGTTCAAGAACAATTTATCCATGTGAAAACAAGCTCCTGGCAGTCCTGCCAAGGGCGGTGTGAACTGCTGAGCTGGTGCTCTGCTGCAAGCCGCAGCTGGGTCTCCCAACCTGCCTTCTCCAGGCACACAGGACACCTTGGGGACAGGAAGCATGTGAGCCCTGCCTTCCTGTGCTCTTCTCCCTGCCCTCTCCAGGTACATGTCCCACCTGTTTGCTCCTCGTTTAACTAAAAAAGAAAACTATGGGCTTTTTCTAGATCAAAAAAGATCCACACACCTATGAAACCTTGGCAGGGATTTAATTGATGGGGGTTTGTGGATGGGGCCGTGCGGTGCTCAGCTTGGTCTCCACCCATCGCCCAGCCACCGGGACGTTGTACGTGGGGAGCGGGGTCTGAGTAGTCCATTCTCCTCGTGTGAAATTCCAGGGAGGAACATGGTCCTGACCCAGGGGGTGCTGCAAAGACGGCGTCTCCTCTTCCTAGCACCCATGCGAGGGTCTGCTCCGGTGCAGGGCTGGGGGGTCACTGAATGTGCTGCTCCATCAGCAGTGACCTGGCTGCTCTAGGTGTCACCCCTTCCTTGCCCAGCCTCTCCCAGGGCACCCAGTGAGGATTTTTGGGGTGCTCTACTCATTAATGAGTCCTGTGAATTCCCCTCTGCCTGGCCGGGCACGGCAGGAGGAGCTGCTCTCCCAGCACGGGTGAGATGCGGAGGTCTCCGAGCCCTCTCCTTTGGTCTGCAGCGTCTGTGTCGCTTCTCATCCTGCCCTGCTGTTACCGCCCCTCGGAGGCATCGTTGTGGGAAGTGGAGCAGTTCTCCAGTTCCTTTGTGATCCCTGCTGGGCACTGCTCTGCTTTGGCTTTCTTTCTTCCTCTCATTGACTTCTTAGCTCCTGTTAACAGCAGAATGACCGCAGGAGTTAACTGCAAAGCAATGGATTTACACAGACGAGGTCAGCGTGGCCTTGTCCCAAAATAGGGACAGGGCAGAAGGATGCAAAGCTCAGCAAAGGAAAGATGAAGAGAAACGCCCCTCACATGTGAGATGCACGGGTACCTGGGGGAGGCTGTTGTGACCCTGGAAACAGAAACAACATGTGAAGCAGAACAGGCAGAGAACGGACCTGGTGCACGAGTGTGTGGAGAGGGTACCCAGAGTGGTGGGATGCATCTCTTGGAGTTCTCCCCCTTGCCATGTGACACACAGCACATGAGAGAGAGATTCTGCCTCTCCATCACCCCATTCCTGCCATGGCTGCATCCAGCCCTTGCTCGGGACGTCCCCATCTGGTCCAGCAGGGTCGGGCTCGCTGTGGTCCCCACCAGCACTGGTGATGCCTGCCCCGGGGAGCACGGGGCAGCTTCCTCCCCATTGCTCTGAGCCGCTGCTTTTGTAGGACAAATCCTCTTCTCACCCAGCTCCCCCGAGCGAGCAAGCAGCTGCCTCCCAACGCCGGGCACAGAGCAAGGACCAGTGCTTGCCTGTTAAACAGGCTCCCTCTGTGCTCGAGCAACTGCCCTCTCCAGGTATAGTTTGGTCAACACTTCCCTGTCTTTACCGACAAAGGGCTGGTGGTGGGTATTTTGACAGACACACTGTCTTGTCCTCAGGAGCAGCTTTCTGCGTACTCCCCTGTAGGAAAACACAGAGACGACACATTCCTCTGTGGACAAGGGAACCTCCGTGGCCGTGCGGGGAGATCAACAGCGCTGGCAGAAACCTTTCTCCGAAAGTCAATAACTCACCCCTGGGAATGTGGCCTTCTCCGATCACCACCTCCCCGACCTGCTAAGCAAACATGAGGGACGTAGCCCTGTTAGCTTAGGCGCTGGGGAGTGCTCTCCTGGCTGCCCTGCCTGGGCTGACCGTTACCAGGGGCTCCTCTGGCTGCAGATACAGCCCTTGCCAAAACACGGTGCAGCGTGTCTCATCGCAGGGAAATGAAAGACTCCGCTGAATCACCTTGGGCAAACATTTGTTTGCAGCATGGCCCCCACTCGGAGCACCCTCCTCTATGCTGCAGGGAAGGTGCTGGAGCCCTCGGGCGTTTCTCACAGGAGCCCCTCGGGAAGCGGTGGAAGCTGCAGCCCTGAGCTGATGCCACAAGGGACTCCTCCTCCCTACCTTTTGTCCAGGGATCCTGTCCTCTTTTTCTCTTCTTTTGCAGCGCATGAGCTTTGTCTTTGGTGCAGAAATATCTCCCGTCAGCCTGGGCTTCTTGTAGGATATCGTCTTCACACGGGGCAGCCCCCTACACCAACAAGAGGAGCAGTCAGCCGACAAATGACCCCACTTTCCCAGGGAGCTGGTGGCGCAGCGGCATCACTGGGGACCTTCGTGACCACTGCTACAGAGTGGTGACAAACGCTGTTGTTCACAAACCCTCTCGACTAGCTGGAGTGATATCTCTATCCCTCAGCAACAAGCTGGGTGGCAGTGTGGGAATGGGGTTTGGCATCTCGTGTAGGAAGAGCCATCACCTCCTGGAGTGAGCTCAGCAGGGGATGACCCACCTTATGCCTCTCGGACCCAACAGCCTAAGCTAAGGGCTGGGGAGATCAAACACACCTCGCTGTCCGTCGTGTCTGGCTCATCAGATTCCTGCTTCCCAGACTCAGCGTCATCATCATCTAAGGAAACACAAAAGGAAGGGGTTTTGTGGCTGGCAGGGGCCTTGGCAAGCTTGGGAGCAGATGCAGAGCCACCAGCCCAGGCTCTGAGAGCCATTGAGGCAGGAAACAGATTTAGTAATAAACGGTGTTGCAAAGCAGATGCACTGCGAGCTACGTGGCTTGAGATGACTATTTATGGGAGATCCAACAGGACTCTGTGGGGAACCAGCTCCTAATGAACCTGTATCTGTAGGACTACCAGACCCTAAGGTAGCAACTGCTGCCCAAAGTCCATGGCCATGTGCAGGCTGGGAACCTGAGGGGTATTTAAAACCCCAGATTGTACCTTCCTGTTTGAGACTCGGGGAGAAACGTGTCTGGGTAAAGAGGCCAAAATGGACAATCCTCAAATTTGCTGCCGGTCCTGGTTGGTGGCTGTCGGCAGGGAGCGTGTGCCGAGGAAATGCGGGTTCACTGCCTCCCTGCCCAGCAGCAGGGTTTTGCTGCACGCAGACCCCGAGGCCACACAACCCCAGACACGTACCTGCACGCACCAGACACACTCCCCGCCTGAGCACAGCGCGAAGCCGCCCGGGCCGGGGACCGAGCCTCGCCGGCGGTGCCATCGCCCCGTCCGCACCCGCAGTGGCACACCGTGCTGGCCACGTGGGTGAGGAAGGGCTGGGGACGGAGCTGTGCCCCTTCCGAGGGGCAGGGGCACCCCAGGACCTCAATACTTCTTCCACAGCTCTGCTCCCCACACCCAGGTCTGGCCAGGGGGACTGTGGCAGGGTGATCACCCTGCTGCTCCTGCCTGGGTGGCAGCGCAGACGGTGCTGCTTTCAGGCGCTCCGGGAGCTCCTGTAGCCTGATCCCACCTTCACTTTATCCTTCCATGGGTTAAGGTTCACTAGAAAGTGCAGAAGTGTTTGTGTATTGTTTCCTGGGCTTTGTGTCAACCTGAAGGTGAGAACTGAAGAAAGTCCTGTATTCCCACACCCAGAATGTAATCAGCTGAAATTCTTCTGCTATGATGGTATCTCCATAGCATGTAAATCACAGAGGACTTTTTTTTTTTTTATTATTTTTTGCCACCATGCAAAATCCTGCTCCGGAGAGTGTTCCCAAACCACTCCGACACGCCCAGACCAACTAATCCAGGCGAGCTCAACTTTCTGGCCAAGCCAGTAAGGCTGGTTCCGAGCAGCTCTCAGCAGACGTGCTCCCCGCTCCGCTCCCCATGGCCGCTGCCTCCCACCCGCCCTGGCAAACCTGCCGCCCACGTCCCGTGGCAGTCGGGCGAGGAGAAGGCATCACGTGTCCCCACACTAAGGGCACTGCTGGGTTTGGAAATGGAAAGGGCTCTGACTGGGGATGGAGCGGGGAAAGGCAGGAGAGCATCCTACCCTATCTGCTGCAGGGACCAGCAAGTTTTGCCAATGGGGTGGTGCTAAACCAACCTCTTTAGCCCCTGAAGCCTCTGCACCCACCCAGCAGCTCAGTGCAGGGTGCTGGGTGATCTGCAGGGTGTGTAAGGACACCCCATGGGTGGCTCCTGGTCTGTGCTGGGCAGAGATACTGGGCTCTTCTCCAGAAAAGCCAAGGATATTTTCTCCCTGCAGATACCGACCCCGAATTTTGAGTGTCCCTAGGGTTGAAAATTGAGCCTTCAAAGATGGAAATGTGAAACTTGAAGTTCCTCTGATGGCCCAAAAGAGCTGGGAGCCAGGAGCACCTGAGTCCCTGGAAGGGTGTCCTGTCCTGGTCAGCTGCTTTCGGCCGGGGGGACTGCAGGTGCGTGCAGAGCCCAGCACAGAGCGCCCCTGGCCACAGGGTACCTTCACCAAAGTGCACCTTTTGCTCTTCCCATCTCAGATGTCCCATTTCCCTGGGGCTGTTTACCTGGTTCTTCCTTCTGTGCAGCGACAGCCAGCCTTGCCCTGCTCTCTGGAAGGGTCCGTGGGTCGCTTGGCACGGACTTGTTGGTCGGATGTGCCCGTGAGAGTGCAAGCTGCAAGAAACGGGGAGCATGGATGCCACCTTTGCCAGGAGGGGGAAAGAGCCGCCCCGGTCCCTTGGCGATGGCCGCGACACCCGTGGGGACGAGTATCACAGAGGTGTTTCTCTGCACTCGTGGCACGTTGCAGGGGAGCCCAGCACCCCTCCTGCACCGACCTGCAGGGCCACACGCCGGTTCTCTGATCCAGATGGAACCCCCCGGGAGGAGGGGTGGGGAACGAGGGCGGGGGCTGACCAGCCACGGCTTTACCCTGTGCAAATACATCCCTGATGGCTTCACACGCAGCAAAGCCATCGTCCCATGGGACAGTAGTGGTGGTCACAGCAGTGCCAGCACCAGCTCTGGGCTCCCCGGGAAGGGGAAGAGGGCCACGGTTGATGCCAACGTGAGCTGTACTCACCACAGCTTCATCCTCCTCCTCCTCTTCCTCCTTGACAGCACCAGGCAGTGCCTGGGCAGCGTTGGGCTGGTGGTAGGGGAAGCGCAAGTTGTCCTGTTCTGCCCCGTGTCTCCTGCAGAGGCCCGGGACTGGTGGCACTGCAGCCCCGGGGGCTGCCGGCCCCCCGCACCTCCCGGCGATTGTGCCAGCCCGTCTCCCTGCCACGGCTGGAGTCCGACAGATCCAGCGGCGCATCTCCACCATCGTCCCTCACCGCCTCTGCCTTTTCTCGGAGTTCGGAGCCGTCTCTGCTCAGCCAAAGCTCCTTCTCTTCCTTCCCATCCATGGCATCCTCCAGGAAGGACCTTTCCTCCTTGCATCCCGGCGTGACGCTCAGCCATGGGGAAAGGGGCCGCTCCTTGGGCACGGGCTCCACGTCTCCGTCCGCCCGCCGGCCTGGCTGGCACGGCTGCC